TGGGGCACCTACCGGCCGCACGTCTACTTCGGCATGAAGGCGCGCGCGCCGCGCGCACTCGTCACCGGTGCGGGCACCGGGGATGCGGGACGGGGTCGGAGCTCCCGGACAGGGTCAGGGGCTCCGGGACGGGATTGGTGTTCCCGGAAGCAGTCCTGGGACAGGGTCAGGGATCCCGGTTCAGGTCACGGCTCCCGGCCCGGGTTGGGGCTCCTGGACAGGTCAGGGGCTCCAGGACAGGACTGGGGTTCCCAGGACAAGGTGAGGGCTCCCGGTTGGGGTCAGCGCACCCGGACAGGGTCAGGGCTCCAGGACGGGGTCAGGGGCTCCGCGATGGGACTGGGGTTCCCAGGACAGGGTCGTGGCTTCCCAGTCAGGGTCAGGGCCCCTGGTCAGGGCCGGGGCTCCCGGATGGGACTGGGGCTCCAGGAGGGAGTTGGGGACTCCCGTTGGGTTCAGGGTTCCCATTTGGGGCTCCTGTCAGTGTCAGGGCTCTGGGACAGGGTCCAGGCCTCCGGTTGGGTTCAGGGCTCCTGGTTGGATCCAGGGCTCCCAGTTGGGGCTCCCGTCAGGTTCGGCGCTCTGGGATATACGCAGGGTCGTGGTCGCGGCTGCGTTGGGGCCGCGCTGGCGCTCACGCGGCGCCGTGTCCGCAGGGCTGATGTGGCTGCAGCAGCGCGAGGCGGCGGGCGCGCTGCGGCACACGTGCGAGCAGGGCGAGGGGCAGCCGCGCTACGGCTGGCTGCAGCACGACGGCGACGCCTTCGGCGCGCAGGAGATCCGCGAGCGCGGGCTGCTGCTGCGCACTGAGTTCCTCAAGAGGCCGGGCGGCGAGCACGGCGGCGACTGGAGCTGGCGCATCACGGCCCTCCCCGACCCCGGCACCGGCACCGACACGGTGCGTGTCCGGGCTGCAGCCCCGTGCGGGCGCCCGCGGGATCCTGCCCTCCGGAACGGGATCGGGGCGGCTCCGGCAATGCCGTGGTGCCAGCGCTGCTCCCTGTGCTCCGCAGGACGCCCTGCTCTCGCTCTTCTTCTACGTGGCCACGGACGGGCAGGGGACACTGCAGCCGCACGTGGAGGACGGCGCACGGCTGGCGAGCGTGACGGGCAGCACTGAGGAGCTGGGCAGCTTCAACATCTCCTTCCTGAAGCCCACCACGGAGACCGGAGCGGAGCCCAAATACGCCAGGTAGGCGCTGGGGGGTCTGCGCGACCCACGCGGGCCTGCGCATGCAGCGCTGTGCGTGCAGCCCTGCGCGTGCAGAGCGCCAGCGCCGCCTCTCCGCTGCAGCTACCACTACCTGGACGCGGCGAGCCCGGGGCTGCACCTGCTCACCGAGCTGGTGCGCGGCAGCCTGAGCAAGCGC